CCACTTACAACCATGGGTGGGGGAGGCGCCCACTACCCATGGGTGGGAAGAGCCAACTACACCATGGGTGGGAGGAGAGCCACACACCTTGGGGTGTAAGGCACCACGAGCAACTGCACCATCGATGGGAGGACCACTACCACTGTGGGTGGAGGAGCTACTAGACCATGGGTGGAGAGCATGCACCACTACACCATTGTGGAGTAGCCACTACAACTGTGTATGGGTGGGAGAGAGCCACAACACCAAGGTTGGGAGAGCCACTACAACATTGGAGGAGTAGCCATACACGCAGGGTTGGCATGAAGCCACTACACCATGGGTGGGAGAGAGCCACTACACCATGTTGGGCGGGAGCCACTACAAACCATGGGTTGGGAGGAGAGCCACTATCCACATGGGTGGGAGAGCGCACTACACTAGTGATGGCATGGATGGAGACAGCCACTACAACGATAGGTGGAATCGCCAAACTGCACACCATGGGTGGGAGGGCGGCACACACCATGTGGGGAGAGCCACTACAACCATGGTGTGGGCGGAGGAGGGCTACTACATACACATGGGTGTGGAAGAGTCCACTACACCATGGGTGGGAGTGAGCCATTTTTTTTCTACAACATGGTGGAGGCGAGTCACACCAGGGGTGGGAGGAGCCACTACACCATGGGTGGGAGGAGCCACTAACACCATGGTGGGAGGAGCCACTACACATGGGTGTTAGGCACCACTAACCCCCAACCCACGATGGGAGGAGCCACTACACCATGGGTGGGAGGAGCCACTAGACCATGGGTGGGAGGAGCCACTGCACCATGGGTGGTAGGAGCCACTACGTGGGTGGGAGGAGCTACTACACCATGGGTGGGAGGAGCCACTACACCATGGGTGGGAGGAGCCACTACACTATGGGTGGGAGGAGCCACTACACCATGGGTGGGAGGAGCCACTACATGGGTGGGAGTAGCCATACACCATAGGTGGGAGGAGCCACTACACCATGGGTGGGAGGAGCCACTACACCATGGGTGGGAGGAGCCACTACACCATGGGTGGGAGGAGCCACTAGCCATTGTGGGAGGAGCCACCTACACCATGGGTTTTTGGAGGAGTCCCCCCACTACCCCTAGGGTGGAGGGCCTCTACACCAATGGGTGGGAGAGCCATTACACCATGAGGTGGGGAGGAGCCACATACACCATGTGTGGGGGGGAGCCACTACAACCATGGGTTGGAGAGAGCCACTACACCATGGGTGGGAGACCACCACACCATGGTGGGAGATCCACTACACCATGAGGGGGATAGCCACTACACCATGTGTGGGAGGAGCCACTACATGAGTGAGAGAGCTACTCAGACCATGTTTGTGGAGGAGCCACTATCATGGGTGGAGGAGCCACTGCAGTCCATGGGTGGTAGGAGCCACAACATGGGTGGGAGGAGCACTACAACAACCTGAGGGTTGTGGAGGAGCCACTACAACCATGGGTGGAAGGAGCTACAACACCATGGTTGGGTAGGAGCACTACACCAAGGGTGGGAGGAGCACTTACACCCATGGGTTGGGGGGGAGCTAACCTACACCATGGTTGGGATGAGCCACTACACATTGGGAGGGAGGAGGCACTACACCATGGGTGGGAGGGCCGCTACACCAAGGGTGGGAGGTACCACTCCACCATGGGGTGGTAGTAGCCTACTACACCATGGTGGGAAGGAGCCACGACACCATGTGTGGTAGAGCCATCTACACCATGGGTGTGGAGGAAGCTATCGACAGACCATGGGTGGAGGAGCCAACTACACCATGGGTGGAGGAGTACTACACCATGGTGGGAGGAGCCACTACATCCAAGGGTTGGGAGGAGCTACTACACCAGGTTGGGGAGGAGCCACCTACACCATGGGTGGGAGAGCACAATACACCATTGGTGGGAGGACCTACTACACCATGGGTGGGAGGAGCCACCCGTCCTCTTATCAAAGACTTAATTTTATTAATCGAAGCTTAAATTTTCACCCCTCGCGAGGAAAAAAATTAAATTAAAAAAAAAGATCTTTATTTCCTTTTGTGTGTGTGTGTTGAGTGTGTGTGGTTTGTGTGTGTGTGTGTTTGTGTGTGTGTGTGTGTTGTGGTTATAAAATATAATATGATGTATATATATATGCAGAGGAAATCGCAAGATAGGCGAAATATACACAAACACGCTGATCTCTGCTCTTCAGCCAGAGAATAAATGTATATATATAATTATATAATAGTATAGAAATATATATATATAAAGATAATATATTAATATATATAAAATATAGTACTAATATATATATAGTGTGTGTGGTGTTTGATATGACGTGCCGAATAGGCAGAACTTGTATTCTTGGCATACATAACAACGCTCAACTTGCATATAGGACAAGCAAAAATTATGCGTATTCGATAAATCGAGAAAAAAAAAAATCATCCACTGAACCTACGAAAAAAAATGTATTTTAATGTGTTTGTTTATTATTAATTTATTGTAAACAAATCTAAAATAATTTAGTTGGGTTAGGCTAAAATAAATTGCGCTTGTTATAGTAAGGTTAGGTAAGTTTTCTAAGATTCTTTTGGTGCAAAATTATAAATTTTTACTTTAACATTAATGAAAAAATGTATCTTTAAACGTATAAGAGAAAATTTTAGAAGGGAGTTAATTTTAAATGAGTTCTTGCTAACTGACCAGTTTTACCTATTAGGCACGATATATGCAGGCAAGCATGAGCGTGTTTGATAGGAGTGAATGGAGACAAATGGTTTTTAATACTTGACGTGCTGTTGGAGTGTGAGCAAAGTAACATTTATGAAGGGATTCAGGGAAACCGGCAGGCCGGACTTGAGTCCTGGAGATGGGAAGTACAGTGCCTGCACTCTGATGGAGGGGTGTTAATGTTGCAGTTTAAAAACTGTAGTGTAAAGCACCCTTCTGGCAAGACAGTGATGGAGTGACTGATGGTGAAAGTTTTTCTTTTTCGGGCCACCCTGCCTTGGTGGGAATCGGCCAGTGTGATAAAAAAAAAAAATATAAATATATATATATATATATATATTATATATATATATATATATATATATATATATATAATATATATTGTAATTACAAGGAACTCTCGTTATTCAGACAGACGGAAAGGTGTTCCTTCCGTCACTTTGGACTTAGCTCCTAAGCGAGTTAGGTGCGCAGATGACGCTACTTGAGGGCCAGGTTGGGAACCTTGGCTTTAACGAGGTTTCCAAATGCTTCGTTATGTACATTCTTCACCAAAATTCGCCTTTTTAAACCTAAATGTCGTCCAGCTCATCGATTTTGCTCATTTAAGTGGATTATTCTTGCTGCTGAGGCAGAGCAGGTAGCCACAGTGAGGTAGAGTAGGTAGCCACAGTGAGGTAGAGTAGGTAGCCACAGTGAGGTAGAATAGGTAGCCACAGTGAGGTAGAGTAGGTAGCCACAGTGAGGTAGAGTAGGTAGCCACAGTTAGTAGAGTAGGTAGCCACAGTGAGGTAGAGTAGGTAGCCACAGTGAGGTAGAGTAGGTAGCCACAGTGAGGTAGTAGGTAGCCACAGTGAGGTAGAGTAGGTAGCCACAGTGAGTAGAGTAGGTAGCCACAGTGAGGTAGAATAGGTAGCCACAGTGAGGTAGAGTAGGTAGCCACAGTTAGGTAGAGTAGGTAGCCACAGTGAGGTAGAATAGGTAGCCACAGTGAGGCAGAGCAGGTAGCCACAGTGAGGCAGAGCAGGTAGCCACAGTGAGGTAGAGTAGGTAGCCACAGTGAGGTAGAGTAGGTAGCCACAGTGAGGTAGAGTAGGTAGCCACAGTGAGGTAGAGTAGGTAGCCACAGTGAGGTAGAGTAGGTAGCCACAGTGAGGTAGAGTAGGTAGCCACAGTTAGGTAGAGTAGGTAGCCACAGTTAGGTAGAGTAGGTAGCCACAGTGAGGTAGAGTAGGTAGCCACAGTGAGGTAGAATAGGTAGCCACAGTGAGGTAGAATAGGTAGCCACAGTGAGGTAGAATAGGTAGCCACAGTGAGGTAGAGTAGGTGGCCACAGTGAGGTAGAATAGGTAGCCACAGTGAGGTAGAATAGGTAGCCACAGTGAGGTAGAGTAGGTGGCCACAGTGAGGTAGAATAGGTAGCCACAGTGAGGTAGAATAGGTAGCCACAGTGAGGTAGAGTAGGTAGCCATAGTGAGGTAGAGCATGTGGTCACATTGAGGCAGAGCAGGTGGCCACAGTGAGGTAGAGCAGGTGGTCACATTAAGGCAAAGAAGGTGGTCACATTGAGGCAGAGCAGGTGATCACAGTGAGGTAAAGCAGGTAGTCACAGGCAGAGCAGGTAGTCACAGTAAAGCAGAACAGGTTACAGTGAGGTAGAGCAGGTGGTCACAGTGATGTAGAGCAGGTGGTCACAGTGAGGCAGAGCAGGTGGTCAGTGAGGTAGAGCAGGTGGCCACAGTGATGTAGAGCAGGTGGTCACAGTGAGGCAGAGCAGGTGGTCACAGTGAGGCAGGGCAGATGGCCACATTAAGGCAAAGAAGGTGGCCACAGTGAGGCTTGCTGACTGTGGCCTCACCATCATCAAGGTTTTTCTATTTTATTTTCCTTTTCTGTCTTTTCCTGCTCTCTGTTTCTGCTCTTTTTTTTTTTTTTTGAGCCGAGAATGTAAACATAAGTAATAATTACTAGACCGTAATGTTATTTCTTTTGATATATCTACACAGCAAGATAAACTTTCATCATGCTTACATTAAACAATATAAATATTATAATTGTTTAGAAAAACATCAAATTGAACGAATGTAAACATTTCCCAATTTCTACAGTGCTCAACACACACTCAGACACCACTTAAGTTTGTTAGTTAATTTTAATTTGCCTCCAGTCAGGACCGGCTGTCATGTGCCTCCTCCCCCTCACATAGTCAATCAGAGACGCTGAGTTTTCTTTGTTTTTTCTTCCCCGCAGCCAATCAGAAGCCGCTAACATTTGATGACGTGTACAACCAGTCGTCCCCCACCAACTGTACTGTCTACTGTGGCGGCATCACAAACGGCCTGTCAGAGGAGCTTATGCAAAAAACCTTCGCGCCTTACGGACAGATACACGAGATCAGAGTCTTCAAGGACAAGGGCTACGCCTTCGTCAGGTGGGTTTAGCTCCCAGCTCCTTCCCTCACCCTCACTCTTCACAAAAAAAAAAAAGATACTCATTCATAAATCTACTTGTAATG